AAAAAAAAAATACATTAGATGGCGCGCTCACACTGTCATATAAATACTAGCGACCCGCCCCGGCTTCGCACGGGTGCAATATGCATGTATTATACATAGAAACCTTCCTTAAGAATCACTCTATCTATTAAAAAAAACCGCATCAAAATCCGTTGCGTAGTTTTAAAGATCTAAGCATACATACGGACATACAGCGAAAGCGACTTTGTTTTATACTATGTATTGATGAATAGCATGAGTAAACTTTGAATGCAAAATAAAATGGGTACATGATATCCCGGGCAGTAACCCGCCAGACATAGCCAGTTAGACCAGTAATAAACCTAAGTAAATTGTGAAAAAACAAATAAAGGAAAGATTGACCTTAAATTTTGCTTTCAAAGGTTTCCAAATAATTTTGTAATCCCATTTAAAATTAACGAAAAGTTTTCATAACTGGAACTATGGATAGACTTATTACAGTTGGTTTCTACTTAATTCAAAAATTAAGTTTAAAGTTGATTTAGTTTTCAGAATTGAAATAATATTCTATGTCTAATCTATTGTAATCTTTTAGTTGCCTAAATAAACTTGGGTACCTGTGAACTTATCTCATTTGGTACTATACAACTATCTACTATGTTTTTTTAATTTTCTGAAATCTGAATTGGTTCGGATTATGTACTGTGCGCGATAATAGCCTTTCTTTTGTATGGAACTCATACGCAAGGAATTTACTAAATTATCATTTGTCTAATGGAAAGAAATTTTTGCAGCAATGGATGCCTTTCATCTGATGATAATGACGATGGTACTCACCTATTCTTTCTAGAAATAAAGTTTATAAAGTCATATTATATCTCTTTGTTTCAGATTTACCTCAACTTCACACAATACGGGTTGGCCAAGCCAAACGAGTGTAATGAGAACATTATTCAAGTGTTTGAGACAGTCCATGAAGAACTAGACTCCAAGTAAGTATTAAGGCATAATATCACTTCGAAAGGAGGTTGGAGATCGAAATTAAAATTCAATTTGACTGTACGGTTGGTTGGTCGAATCCCGCACGGAACGACACTTTGTGTGATCCACAAATTGTTGTTTCGGGTCTGGGTGTCAATGTGTATGTGAACTTGTATGTTAGTAAACGCACCCACGACACAGGAGAAAATCCTAATGCGGGCAACGTTTTTAAAAAAAAACCATCTGAAAATACGGCTGCTCGATCTCTCTTAAATAAGCAGTTCTTAAGGTCTTTAAAATAGTAGGGATAATTATTATGTTTCTCGCCTTACTCACTCAATTATTTGACGAGGAACTCGACTTGTTTCAAGCCACGCTAGAGGCTCATTCATAAGCAGCTTTCACGTCACTTCACGGGTCGTGGAACTAGTCGAGTTCCGCGTCTAATACGTACGTGAGTAAGCAGAAAAACATAATAATAATTAATTTAGTATGTAGAAATAAATATTATATATTCCGCCATTACATTTTTGGCATAAGGCGGCAACCGGGCAGACAGCTCACCTGATGGTAAGCATCTAGCACCGCACATGAATCTGCAACGCATGCATTAGGGATGGGGAGGATTGGGCCTATGATAAATGTGATTAAACCTCTTTTATTGTCACCAGGTTAGCAGAATATTGTGGTTCTGTAGCCAACTCAGTCACGACAAAGGACCGCAATGGTAACGTCATGTACGTGAGGCTATACGTCGCGAAGGACGCTCGGAAGGACACCTCCTTCAAGGCCACTTTCAACGCGTATAGAACCTTGGATGCTAATAGTGATGGTAAGTGGGGTTATAATTTAGTGAAAATTATATTAGACCAGTGGCGGAATGAATCAGCGCAGGCGCGCCGGCCAGTGGCGGAATGAATCAGCGCAGGCGCGCCGGCCTGCACCGCCTGGCGATGCGCGGGCGCGCGGTTCGGCGTTAACAACTGCTGAACAAGAGACACCGGGATCAATTCTCAAGTTGACCAAAAAAGGTGTGAGATTTTTTAAGTTTGAAATCGTGTCCAGTACATGTTAATACGCTCAAGCCGCATTACATGGGATTTATACCATAAATCTGGTGAACAGTGGGTTCCATTTAAGTATACACTTGAAACACGATAGCAACACTTCAAAATTCCAACAATGATAAAAACATTAATAATTTCTCTCCTCAGATAAATGTGGCGATGATGAATTCGACTGTGAAGACAATACTTGCATTGACCTTCGTCTTAGATGCGATCATGATGCGCACTGCCGGCTGAAAGCTGATGAGGACAAGAGCAGATGTGATGTAAGTACTCTAGCCCAATCCGTATAGATTTTAAAGCAGAAAGATAAAAAAACTGCCTCGTGGTCGCAAGTGCGACTGCCGGGCAAGGGGTCTCCGGTTCAATTCCCGGGTCGGGTAAAGTAATAATATATTTTTTTTTAATTCTCAGTAATAGCACGGAGCCTGGAATTGTGCCCGGTATAAGGCAATAGGCTCACCCCCTAATACACAGGACTCATAACATAAATAGTGGGTGTTATATTGTGCAATTCCATAATGTACACCTCTTCCTACACACCTTCGGGGATAAAAGGATGTAGATGGAGGATGGAGATATAATGTTAAAAAGTACTGTCTTCTTTGCCTTCTTGATTACTTTAACATTTGATTAAAGATATCAAACAAGTTCCATTATAGGATCGAACAAAAATTCGTCGAAAAACGAATCATCAAAATTTTGAAAGTTTCCCTTTTTCCCGTACCCCTTCGAGTTACTTACATCTTTATTCTTCTACAGTTGAAACAAGAGTCTACAATCAACCAGCCTCACATCATGGTAATCCTGATCATCTTCTCCCTGATCTTGTCAGGAATGAGCTTCGTCTTTATCTTCAAATGCATGAGGAAGTTATACCAGGATCATAAGATTATCAAGGTTAGTGAAATATTCAGGATGTTTTCAAAGAAGAATGAGAAGTTGTATTTTTGATATGAATCTAGGTTAACTTTGGGATACAAAGGGACGATAAGTATATGCAAGTTCAAATCTTTTTCTTAAAATTGCCATTTATTGGACTCGACTACACTAGACTCTGAATTTTAAATAGAAAAGCTAACACAGCTCAATGGAATTGAATGTACCTATAGAGGTAGTTGATCTCAATAGATTGGCAAATAACCAAAAAATAAATATTTAATGTTTCATCAACTATTTGATGAATAAAGTATGTTCCACCAGAAACCCATTATTTAAAATGTTCATCAGATAAAAGGCGCGACGGTGATGATACATTTTAAGCAATCAAAAACATTTTTATTAATACAGGAGCACATAAGACAATCGTGTGAAGATCGTCTGGACAGTTTAGTCGGAAGTCGTCTGACGTTAGACCCCAAGAGACTACAGAGGGACAGTGAGCCTCGAGTGAGTTTAGAAAGAGAAAACCACAACAATGAAATGGTAAAGAAGCAGAGGAGCTTCTCTTCAAAACATAAGGTAAGATAAAATATTGTTTTTATATTTGTCTAGTTCGTATGAAGAATTACCACCGCGCAAGATAGTCGCCAAACGTCGGCCAAAAATAAAGAGTAAGAAGAATAAATTACAAAGTATTTCGAGTTTAAAAACTATTTCTGAAAATGAGCCAGAGGACCTTACTAGTAAAAACTATAGTGCATAAAATACACTAAATTGACAAATAATATCTATGGATAGTCATAATCATATATTTCAAGAAAAAGTCCTATATATTCACTAAACTATCTTTAAATACCTGAACGCTGTGAACCGAGCTAAGCGCTGCTACGAAAGCTTTTAAAACTAATATGATATAGTAGGTAAGAGCCTTTAGTCTATCACATAATGCATTTTTAACGAAAACTGCATCGTGAAGGAATAGTACGTGTTTAACTTTCTTGGAAGATCAATTTTGATGTGCCTATGTTCAGTTGTGGACGAAAATAGGTTGTTGGTAATGATGATGATAACTCGACGGATTAGGCCGAGGTGTGCCAGAAATGGAAATATTAATACCCATAGTCCTAACCCTTTTGTCCATTATCTACAATAGTTTTACACTAACCGGGGACTGTCCTTGGGTGCATTTTCATTGTGCATGCAAGGATAGTCGCTGGTTTCTGTGTCCATTACATTTAGATTAAAGGTGTCTAAAGGGCCTCTGCGCAGTTGGGTTCGACCCGTATTACGCCTCCCATATGACCGGTACCCTGTGGTCTCGTGAATAGTAAAAATATTAATATTGATAAAAAATATTTTAAATAGTACCAAGGTCAGTACAAAACAATGTGTGCAGGTCCAGATTTTAAAAAATTTTGCTGAGAATTTCTGAAACCTTTGTTATCATCTGAGACCTGATACATGATGAGACACGGTTACAATTAAACGAGTGAATCCAACTATAAAGTATGAATTTAAAAGAGCTTACAAAAGTAATTTTGTTACAGCAATCAAGCATAGAATCCGACTACCAGGAGACCCATTTAGACTTAGACGAAGAAATATGGAGAAGAGAAGTAGACAGCATGCCAATAGAAGAAGATGTCTCCATAGAACGAAATGGAAGAGCAAGGAAAAGCGACTTTAGCAGAAAAGAAGAATCAATGAGAAGTAGAACAAAAGAGAGTGAGGACAGCAGAGAAAAGAAGGAGATGAAAGAACATAAGAGGGAGATTAGAGATGTGTCGGTTGGAGCGCCAGATACTAAGGAGTCTGGATGCCAGACCAGAGAGAGTCTGTTTCAAACTGATCCTCCTCCTAGTTCTGATGGTAAGATTTTCTTTAATACTTTGATTTATCGTACCAAAAATTCACAATTTTTTTTCATACATACGTAGTCTCTAAACGTTGGAAAGAAGGTCTATAATGGAGTTAGTGGAGAGCAGTCATAGGTGACCCTTCGGTAATGACGGTTTTGGTCCCGTAACGTAAGAGTAAACTTATTTTTAAATTCCAATCGGAATTATAGACGACTAGCAGCCCGTCCCGGCTTCGCACGGAATAGACAATTATTTATTTTTAGAAATTTGGATTGTTGTAGTGACATAACTACAATAGTTGGACATATGCTACCCTGGAGTTTTTTGTAGACATTATGATGTTCTTCAATATTGTTGTACATTACTTTGTTCTATCGCTAATAATTTCGGCAGCGCATTCGACGAAAGACATTTTAAGACTCATTTTTCTACACCTTCAGTTACATTGTTCAAATTTTACCAAGGATCCCTAATTTTTTTCAAAATGAAATGTAGCTTATATCAAATTGGAAGAATGTAGCATTCCGTTGGTGAAAGATTTTTTTAAATCGGCCCAGTACTTTTTGAGCCTATTCATTACAAACATACAAACATACAAAAATAGGTACAAATCTTTCCTCTTTATAATATTAGTAGAGTAGACCATATAATCATTTCTGAGTATTTTAAAAACTGATAAACCTTCTTTTTCTCGGCAATCCCACTTACGACTACCCGACCGATAGCGACGAGGTAGACGACATTATTTGTTCTGCCCGTTACATCAAAGTTGGGATGAACTTCACATCGTAGATGCAAACTTTGTTTGTGTTTCCGATTTCTTTCTCGACAAACTTACTGCATAGAATGGGGTATTTGCTGCAATTCCGAACCTTTTTGGGCCTTTTAAACCTTTAACTAAAATTGTGAATATACTGAGAAAAGCTCTACTAGGTTCGAACCACAGTGGTTCTTCCTCATGAGCAGCGTGCGCGATCGCGGTGATGTCGCGTAGCCTACATTTTAGTTAATTTAGTATGTCTTTTAGACCTTTGCTTATTTCACGTTATACGTAGTTATAATTATAACGTATAACCTGGGTGTTTTCAAGGCCCGAGTGAATAGGTTGCTTATGGGCAGACATGCTCCATCGTAGACCATCTCATCGCTTACCATCAACCGAGGTAGTTGTCAAACGTCGGCCCATCAAATATAAACAAAATGCCCCCAAAATTGATAAAGTAAATTAAACCATTTCTTACGTGTTCAGCAACGCACATAAGTGTCCTCTGTTCTCATTTTTTATTATTAGAAAGTGTGTGTAATTGTTCAAGAGGCAGTTTATCAATCTAATGGAATCTATCCTATTAATTTTCAACCTTAATAATTTTCTGTTTTACCTGTACCTTAATACTTACTTAATACTGCCTCGTTCGTACCCCGGACAAGGGGTCTCGGGTTCGATTCCCGGGGTTTTTAAAAAAACCCTCAGTAGTAGCACGGAGTCTGGAAATGTACCCGGTATATGGCAATAGGCTCACCCCCTATAACATGGGACTCATAATATAAATAGTGTAAAGTGGGTGCTATGTACAGTGGCATTAAGTGCCGTAATGTGTACCTCTGCCTACCCCTTCGGGGATAAAAGGCGTGATGTTATGTATGTAATACTTTTGTGATTAAGTTGGAAATCTATTAAACAAAGCTTTTGTCGATTCATTTAATATATTAATATCTCATTCTACTTATTTGAGTGACTAAACACGACATTACATCTTAAATTAAAAAAATTCCAATTATTACCACTTAGAAAATCATTCCATCCACTTCAAGGTAACTAAATTAATAAATACTAATTTTATTGCAAATAAATTCAATAAAAAAGCCTTGAGGAGCACCTATCATCTGTCCATTACTCTCTGTTGAAGTGGCTGGCAGAATGCGTATTACTTTTTTAATATAACCTCTATCGTGTGACGTCATCATATCAAGATGGCGGATGTTTCGCGCCAATCGCCATATTAGATTTTTCTGGAGTGTTAATCGATAGGATGAAAGATAGATCTTTTAGAGTTTTTTTTGAAGATTTTTATGAAGTAGGTCGACTGAGGGTAGGTACGGAAAACTTATGAAAATTAGTAGATTTTAATCTCTTCTGAGTGGCAACCAATTAATTCTTTTTCAAAAGTAATTTATGTATTTTAATCTTAATATACCTATAAGATTGCACTAAATTTAAACGAATATTAATGATATAAATATAAATAACTAACAACTAACTAAAAGAAAATTAAAGAAAACAAAAAAATATCCAACTTACGGTGTCGCGGGTTCGATTCCCGCACGGAGCAACTCTTTGTGTGATCCAGAAATTGTTGTTCCGGGTCTGGGTGTCATTATGTGTATGTGAACTTAAATTATGTGATTAAAATAATATCCTATTAATTTGTCTTAACTCCAAAATTATAATAAATTATAATCAGGCCCTAAGACGTATCTTTAAAGTCTGTCTGTCTAATCCCATCCTCTTATCATAGGTTCCGGTACCAACAGTCGAGGGTTCTCAACGTTTGGGTACTCCGGAGCCACCATCGTAAGGCCCTCGCCACCAGCCACAACGAACACTTCAGAGATCACCATAGAACTGCTCAAACAAATACCTTCGCAGGAATCTAAACCATGTGAGTTACATAATACGACTTAGATTTTTATATCTTTGATTTTTGAAGGGGATTTTTGATTGCTTTAAAGGAGTCTCCGGTACGATTCCCGTGTCGGGCAAAGTACTACTAAATAATAAAATAAAACTCAGTAGTAGCACGGAGACTGGAAATGTGCCCGGTATATGGCAATAGGCTCACTCCCTATTACACGGGACTCAAACATAAATAGTGAAAAGTGGGTGTTATATTGTACAGTGGCATTAAGAGCCATAATGTGCACCTCTGCCTAAAAATACAAAAAGCGTATATAAAAGGCGTTATTTTATATTTTATGGAAAAACAAGTTTGACATTTATTGAGCAAATTTCAAACTAAATTCAACTGGATATTGATAAATGGTTGTAAGTCAAGTTTTAATAGATCGCAAAGAAAATTAGTTCTTTGAAGTAAGTACCAAATTAAACAGAAAACGTTTATCCAAGTTAATCTTAAGTTACTACTTAAAGGACCTGAATAATTACTGTTTTAATGAACCCTTTGATTTTAAATCTAGAATTTATAATATCTTGTATCCAGGCAGAATTATATGCCCAATAGGGCTGATGCAGAGCCGCGGAAGACTTAACGGGTTGGAGTAGGAACGGGGTGGTTTTTAGTCAGTAAGTCTGACACTCCCTCTCGCCTCACCCGGAGAAGTCATCGAAAGATTGTTCTCACTAAAAAAAGAATAACAGAATTATATATTACCTCTAGATATTGGTCATCCTAACATCACGTCTTTTATCTCCGAAGATGTAAAAAGTGCACATTACGGCACTTACTGCCACTGTACAATGTAACACCCATTTTTCACTATTTATGTTATGAGTCCCATGTAATAGGGGGGTGAGCCTATTGCCATATACCGGGCACAATTCCAGACTCCGTGCTACTATTGAGAATTAAAAAACCCACCGAACCCGAGAGCCCTTGCCCAGCAGTCGCACTTGCGACCACCCGGCCAACAAGGCAGTGATATTGGTTTGCATAATTTTAATGAATGTCAAGATCAAAATATTACATCTTTCGTTACTTAAATAATTTTCTGCATACTCACGTAATTAGTATATGAATATGAGCCCCTAGCGTAGCTTGAAACTAGTCGAGTTCCCCGTCAAACAGTTACGTACTTGAATGAACTAAAAACAAAATACGGTCTTTAACTGATGTTGATGTAATTTTTTTAGTCTATTTTCTTAAACAAAAACCAGTTCTGATTGCGACTTTTGAACTTATTCCGAATCAAAGTAGTAACGTAGTTATTATTTCTTTAACATTTATATCTTCTATTCAGGAACAAAGCAAATCATCAAGGATGTAACATTTAGAGAGTACTTTTTTTCTTTTGAACTTCTCAGAAACTCCACGAAAACAATAGACAATTGCCATGTCATCGTTACAACAATTTAGGGGCCTATTAAATAACAACAAAACTTTTTGTTCCAATAACCGACTGAATACCCAATCAGAAGTCCCAAAAAATTCTTTGGTTCTCAAAAATCCTTCTAACATAAATGTTTTTTTTTACAGTAAAGAAAATACCTGACCGCCGTCCGATCAGTACGGAGACTACGCGATCAGCTCCAGACGTCATCATTGTGTCAAAACCGATTCGCTGAGGGTGACCTTTGGGGCCCGCTCCATGGGCCCCAAAACCCCCTGACTCCTGGTATCCCTTAGAGCCCCGTATGAGGCCGGAGGGGTCCTACCAACCGCACACTTGTCAACTCGACACGTTTTCTAAAAGCATGTCTTTTGACAATTGTGACGGTTATTACAGCCAATATTTTGATGAGAGACCAAAACTTATTTATGATTACTGTCTTAAAAGTGATTTTGAGTATAAAAAAGCCCAGACTTTGCCCAGAAACTTGGGGTCTTCAGTGGACTATAAGCCTAAAGTGTACCCTCAAAGGAGTGTGTGTTTTTACGGCCTTGATGATGAAGAGGACTGTCCGAGGCCAAGGAAGACATTTGTAGTGCACGCGGATATCGAACCCCATAGATAACATTTGTGAGGACTTTTATAGCATTTTTTAAATAGATAATAATTATAAAATGTTTTTTTTTTCAGTTTGTTAATATAGGATAATAAATTGTAGATTTTTTTGGGATTGTAGTTAATTTTTTGTTTGATTAATATTAATGGTTCAGAAAAAGTTGATAATGCTTTTGGGAGGCTATTCTTCCGTGCCGGAAAAGGGCCTAAATGGTTGAATCTCTGTTAATGGCTCTCTTGGGAGTCTAAATATAACCTATCAGAAACGATTTGGATTATGTCCCAAGAGAAAATTATATGAAAATGATAGGTACAGATGCCAACACATCGAGATATAGAATAGAATTTCAATCTTATGCTTCTGGAATATAGTTGAAAATCTATAGACATTTGACATATTTGGGGTAACTTGAGGTGTTGGCTTGAAATTTTAAAGATATTGAAAGCTTTTTATTGTTTGTTTCATATTTTTGAAGTTTAAATTAATGACTACTATTATTGTTTTTAAAATAAATATACGCACAGCACTATTTGTATTGTAATGTTAACTTCTGTTAAATGAATCGTGAAGTTATGTAAATATAACCAATCAACTGCCAATATTTAAAATTATGAATAAAAATGTAGAAATATTTTGAATGTTAACAAAAATTAATCAAAAGTAAATCTGAAATGTATCATCGCGTAGAACTCTTAAATTACCTCAATTGAATAAATTATTTGTTTTCTTTGTTTTTGAGATATATTTATTTTAAGGATTGTAATAGCACACTTTTTTCTAGTTTATCTATTGGTCGCAAATCATTGGCTTTTTTTTAAGACGGGTAAATTATCGAATGATTGCTCCCGCCTGGATGAGGCGGGAGGGAGTGTCAGACTCTTAACCCCGGTAACCCGTTAAGTTCTCTGCGACTCCGAATCGGCATCAGCCCTGTTGATTAAGTCATTGCCTAACATGAGGTTTTACGTTATATTTGAAGCCTAATAATAATTCTGATCGCTGACTTGCATTCTTGCCATATTGTAAAATTGCAGCAATTGACGTTAAACACAAAAGTCTACATCAACAATTATTGGCTATAAATACTTATTAGGTACTTTCCCGAATTCAGTGCAGTTTTAGTCTAGACTCAGGTGCTGATATAATCGTGATCTTCGGATCCAACTTGTTGGTTTTCTGCCCAAATTCGTGGTATAGACCGGGTCGATATAACCTTTTATTAGGGCAACCGCGGAACTGTGGGTGTAGTCCAGGACATAGTCAATTTGTGTATTTGTAATTTTTATAAAAATAAACTCATGTGTAACTTAAATTTAAACTGTCAAACACCAAGCGGTCACCGGTGACCGCAACCTATTGTTCTATAATTGTGTCTACAAAACCGGTACTCGACGAGTTAACGTGGATTTTCTCTTAGCTTTTTGTTTTTTTGGTTGACGAGTCGCCCAGAGTAACGATTTGATTTCGATTAAAAATAATGACAGTTTTAAATCTGCAGCTGTAGCCAAATGCCATTTACCGTTTGTCTACTTGTAGAGAAAAAAACCAAATTATATGGAATAGGCATGGCGACTATTTTTTAATTTTTTGTCCGTCTTTTAGATATTTTAAAAATCTTCGATACGTATTTTTTCTTTTTTCTCGTATCCAAAAAAACATGTAGATATTTTGAGTTAAAATGACGGGTGACGTCACACTTAGGTACGATTTCTCCGTAAGTGTGACGTCAACACCCCCCACTCCCTAACTTTAATGCGGAATAACTACGTATTCTTCTGTTAATTTGATAAAACAAAAAAATACGTGTCTGATATTTTCGTGCGATCTTAATGACGGACTAATTACTTTTTTGATTTTTTTACCCTGTCAACACGCCTATTGACGTAAATTTTTACACTTGTCAGTATCATCCCCATACATTTAGTTTTCTACTCTCTCTGTAGACAAGCGCTAGAGTGGCTTTTGGCTAAAGGCACTGATTAAGAAACATGACGTTATTATACGTTTAATGTAAACTTTTGCGTTATACAATACTAGCCGCGGCTTCGCTCGCGTCACAAAAAGATAAAAAGTATCCTATGTGACATATACCAATACACACAGCGCCATCTATACCAATGTTTTTGTTTTCCCTCGGGAATATCAAATCTTTCCGGGATAAAAAATACCCTATTATTTAATATGGACTTCTAACTTTACGTCTGCAAAAATTCAAAGCAATCGGTTTAGTAGTTACGGCGTGAAAGCGGAACAAACAAACAAACAAACAAACTCACTTTCCAATTTATAATATAGTAAGGATAAGGATGTTTCCGAAATGGAAATTGGAATCGAAAGCATGCTCAAATTGTATGCTTTGTACAGTTTGTACTAGTCGCAATCAGATTACAGCAATAGTGGAATGTACTCATTGAGGCCTAAAGCGATATGTTATGTCCAATATCAGACATGCTTTGATAATGAGAATTAATTTGGGCCTAATTTTGGGCCAAAATTTATAATTTGCCTAATCAATTTGATACAAAATATGAATTAAAAAATTACGTAGAATGCAAACACGCGGCTTTCGACTTGTGTAATATTCATTTTATGTGTTTTATAATCAAACTTTTAAAAACAAACTCAAACTCAAATGCATTTATTTCAAACCATAATTTGGTACTTTTGAAACGTCAGCAAATATGAAATAATAATAGTCTGTCAGTCTGTCTATCAGTGAAGCTAGGCGCTCGTTCCAAAATGTCGATTCGAGTGGAGAAGAACGAACAAGAAAATCCATTCGTTACTCTTTTAAAAAAAGTCTGTTTTACACTGCTCTGATACATATTCCAATATTGTACACACATGTGAGAATAATGTAAAAACATACCTGACGCATCATACAAATAACAGAACGTACTAAAATAAAAAACCAAAACCAAGAGAAAACAAATATCTTAAGTCTGACATGGTCCTCACATATGTACAATCCATATAAAATAGTGCTTCTATACAAGAAAAAAATAATTAAATATTTTTATGTTATGCTTAATGCATTGTTGCTTTGTTTAGATTTTATAAACTTCATAATAATGTAAACATGTCGTCGCACTGTGAAATAAATATTATAGAAATGTTAACGCTTTTTACCTATAAGTGAAATATATTATGAACAAATAAAACATGTTGTTACTCAGTTCATTTCAACTTTCAAAATATTTCTACATAAAAATCTGAATGCAATAAAATTGTGTTAAATTTAATGAAATAAATGAATTAATTTACATATTTCAACTTGTTGGAACTATTATCTAAGATTTGTTAAGTAAAACTTAATTTTAAGATACCTAGTATTTCTTTAAAGTTGTTCGAAATAATTGAATTAGATGAATTCAGAATTCAAATCTTCGAATATTTATAATTGTGTTACATTTATTAACTTGAATATAAAGAAATGAAATATTTAAATTTTGTTAAAAGAATGAATAACAAAATAGATTTATTTGTAAATGGAATACGATTTTTAAAATTTATGAATGTTTTTTATTTCTTATTCATATTGAGATACCTAAAATAACAAGAGTCTTCCAAAAATAAATTGTTGTATTAAAAAGAAGTACCTATGCTTTCAGAATTGTTCCCTCAACTTTTGCCGAATCTTATTTATAAAGGTGTGTTCACAGTATTCTTGTTAACAAATCGGTAAAATATTTAGATGATTTAACACTTTTACTGCCAAGTTTAAAATGGTGAAAGTCAAATCTCCACTAACGTCAGGTACCGGTAAATGACGTGGTACTCGAAGGGTTAAACATTGAAATTATTTATTATCATATTATTCATTGCCAAATTGATTTTGAATGAAATTAACCAACCGGTCGGGTAATATAGGAACCCTCCATTAACTTGAACTATTGACATTTATTGGAATAAAAGTACAAATGTCGCCGCCTACATTCGGCCTTGGAGTCGGGCAAAGTAATATTGTATTTCTGACTCGATCAAAGTTCTTAACTGTATCGCACAAACTGTAATAGGATCGCCCACTAATGCAATAAGAATATTATTCCCGTTTTCTCCAACCTCTTTTATATTTTAAGAGACCCATAAGTTAAAGAAAGGTTATACTTAGAGACATTTTGGTTTTTATCGACCTATAAGTGACACCTAACAGTACAAGTAAGGGGTTGGTTTAGATGCTACGTCATCCTAGGTAACTGTTAGTTAAAAGATCGTTTAGGAGTGATTCGTGGAAACAGCTAACAATAACTCAAAAGCGTATTATTATGTGGTATTTAAAAAAAAATAATATTACCTTTATTTGTATCAGACAAAATGTAACGAAAATGAATAACAAAATTTATTTCAGTTATTCACCTTTAAAAACATGTGAACATACTTTTAATAACTCATATATTCAAATGTAAAAATGTAGTCTAACAACTAGCTATTTAGACAAATAAATGAATAGACCAATTCGAATAAATCATATTTTATAAGAATCAATAATTCATAAGTGAAAATAAATGTAAATAACAATAAATGAATAAATGTAGATACTTTCTGAATAGTAAATTAATTGGTTTAAATATTGTTGAATAAATTATTTGAACTAATAATGTTATTAATAATTAAAATCTGACAATATGTTGGTTATTAATTATGTTTTGTTGGTGTAACTTATATAAAAAAAAGTTTATTTAATAGAAAAATGGATTGCAAATTACTAAAATGTAAAACCTGTAAGGTTTTTATAGAAATATTACCTAATTCGTTTATCAATACTTTAGATTTTTAAAAGTTTATAAATAACATTTTGTTTTATATTTATTTGAATAAATTGTGTTTCTATTCACTCCCTTCTAACATGGGACGTATAACATAACTGCTGAAAAGTGGATGTTACATTAAATTCCAGGTGTAAACAGAACGTTTCCAATAAACGAAGACAGGTGGCAAATAATCCTATTAAAAACTCCGTTTAAAATATTCCCCTCTTTTTAGAGGTCGATTAATTAATATACCTACTATAACTGTGTAACAAACACAAAACCGCATCAAAATCGGTTCAGCCAATCGTGAAATAATCGAGTCAAACAGGACCTACTTTTGAAGTCGATTAAAGCGAGTTATATTAAAAAAGTAAAGAATTCATGTTTATTTTATGTTATAATACTTATAATGAACTGCTCAAGGCTGATGTTTCATGAATAACACGAAAACAGAAACAATTAAAGATTAAAAAAATACGTGTATTGTCAAAAAGCTTCACATTATATTTGTTTATGGCCCTAGACACTAGGATTCTCTGTGTCGTGAAGCCCAGTCTCTTTCAGTCAGAAAAAAAAATCTTTTAAAACGTTTCCCTACACTAGGATTTCTCCTGCATCGTGCGTGCGTTTACAAACATACAAGTTCACATACACATGACACCCAGACCCGAAGCAACAATCTATGGATCACATAAAGAGTTGCTCCGTGTTGGAACTTGCTACACGTTGCGCGACAACCCAAAGCCCAGTCACCGCGCCAACCGTGCAAGCAGAAGAACAAGATGAAAGGAATATAATTTTAACGTTTTCATATAATACTACGTATATCTTATACTATTATAATAAAGCGGAAGAGTTTGTTTTTTTGTTTGTTTGGTTGAACGCGCTAATATCCGTAACTACAAGTCTGATTTGAATAATTCTTTTTGTATTGGATAGCGCATTTATCGAGGATGGCTATGGGCTATAAAACATCACGCTACGACCAATAGGAGCTGAGCAGACCGTGTGAAACCGCGCGGAAGTAGCTAGTTTGTAATATCTGCGTTTCATTTACACGCTGTATATGCACCTATGCAAAATGGGATGTTATTCTAGGTTAAAAATGAGTTTGTATTTTTAGCCAGTGATTAAACTAAATGAGCGAAACTTTGTGCCTACTTAAAGCGTAAACTATGGGCTATAAGTGAGTAATGAAAATAAATTAAGTGGCTATAATAGATTAAGTCTAAATCCCCAGTCCTCCCACGCTGTCGAAAGTTCTAGTCTGAAATAAAATGTCGCCTTACTGAGACCAAACCAATAAATTATTCGGGACTAATCTCCGCACAAACTTTATAATACCTAAATTTAGTGGGACGGAAAATTCTTGGCCTGTTTGGGGGCCTTGTACTTGTAGATATGAGTCCTCTGTGAGTGATTTTAGGTTCAAAAAATTATGTCACTCAAATTCTCTAGTCTAGAAATAGGTTTGTTATTCATAATAAATGATGAATTGCTTTGAAAATAAAGATAACGATTCCGGAAATCTACCTTAATGTTTCTTATTTTGATGTCTAGATTCAAATACGATTTATTAAGATTT